TTGCATGAATGTATTTCATGCTCTTATTGCTTGTAGTGGAAAGTATGATATAGAACTGAAACAGTCAGTAGTTAGAAATGCCTGCTTCTGAACATTATACTAGATTAGTTTAGTTTAGCATTTGCTGGTTTCAGATTCAGTAAACTGAGAATTTGCTGCTTTTGTCTAATGTGACTCTGAACAGGTGGTTGATGATGGACACATCTTCATGTATATGAAACAAAAGAACCAATGTGAAAGAGTACATTTAAAAAAAATTGCTTCAGAATTCCTTAAGAACTTATTGTGCATGTGGGTGTAAAATATTTCTGATTGTGAAGTGTTTGTAGAGTGTAATGGGCAATTCCAGTATTTCTGCCGTGTTACAGATCTCATACTTGAGCGGATCAGGAAATACCCATCAAGAATGAAGTAATTTCTGCCTGGTAAGCAGAGTTATTAAATTATTACCACATCATGTTTTCTTGTTCTACAGAACCCCAATGAACTCTCTCACTCCACTGAGCTTCCCCAAGTCCAGATCAGCTCTGTGGGATGGCAGCCCTGCAGGGGAGAAGGTCCGCCTCCAGCTCTGTTCACACAGGTAATCGCACACCTGCTGACCGGTGAAGCCAGACACAGACCACAGTATCCTGTCCCCAATACTGGTCAGACCACTGACATGGGCTGTGAGTCAGCTGACCCCATCACTTATCTGTTGTACAGTCCAGTCCCATCATGTTTTAAACTGCTGTGTAGCAGTGACCAGTGGAGCATGCTTTTTTCTTTTTTTTTTTTTAAATAACAAATGTTTTTCTTCTAAACGCCCACATGGTCCCAGAAGAGTCCATACCATGTGCAGGGCCATGGCGATACATACACCTTGTTTAAGTCCAACTGTACAAGTGAGGTTTTTTTTTTTTTAAACTTGATTTCAGTTAAGTCTTTTTTAGTAACACAGCTGAAGTCAGCCTCACATCTTGTGCACTGACCGATAGGGCAGAAAATGACTAAAACTGTCTGAGAACCTTTTGAGGAGGTTAGAATGAAACATTGCTTTGTGCCTGAAACTGTACCAGACAGTTCTGAGTGGAAGATGCTGACTGTCTACAGAAGGAAAGCTGCTGTTAGCTCAGAGATGTGGGCAGAGCTGTGGACTGATGAAGCTGTGAATGGTTTTCCACTTGGATCCAAAGATGAACTGATCTTGCCCTTAATGCTTGTCTGTGCAACATGCTGCCAGTCTGACACAGCTGGTTGTAGTGAGAGTGAGAAGGCTTGTCCAAGATGACTGAGTTTATGAGTCCAGTTCTTTTAAACTGATTTGGACCCTAAGGTGCCTGTAGGAGTCCTTAATACACTTTGGTTAAATTCCTTCAGGGTCTTCAGTGCATATATGACACGTGTGGGCTGCTACTTGACTGGTTGGTGGAGGCTACCAGCCATGAGGTGGTAATTCTGCTTTGGATTAACATTCTTACTTGTTGAATATCAGTGGATCTCTTGGTTTGGCTTGTTAGTTTTTATGCTATCATTCAGTGTGTGGGGAGCCTTCTGTGTCTTCAGCTGAGCCTGTGCTGTCATTTCACAGGTGTCCAGCAGCAATTTTTCTCTATGTAATCTGTTATTACTCTGTAGAAATGTGTTCTCTGCCTCAGTGCGGGGTGTACATCCTTGGCTGGCTGTAAACTGGAAGCCCTTCTGTGCCCCCTGCTACATCCACCTGTTGTTGTTGTTGTTGTTTCCCGGCTGTGTCAGCAGACAATGTGTCTCGCTGCAGGAAGCCTCGGTTGGTGCTGCTGGAGAAAGCTCTGCGTCTGGCTCAGCGTCATGTCCGTCACAGCAACAAGCCCTGCCTCCACTGTTTCTTCCTGGGATCGATGTCTGTGGACTCAGGTCAGACTTCACCTGCATGTCATCCTGAGCTCTGATTGGTCCGGTGTGCACAATATAGGCACAGTAATATCTCTCTGCATCTGCATTCATTCACATTACCTCTGTCTTCTGGTCTCTGTGTGCTGCTGTGGTCCAGATGAAGAGGGGGTCACTTTGACTCTGGACCGGTTCGATCCGGGTCGGGACCAAGCTGGATCCTCCGGCAGGGTTCCCTCTGCTGCGTTGCCTGGAGATGTCCTAGTTCCCTGTTTGTTTTCCACCCAGACTGAGGTGACTTCTGATGCTGTTGTCCAACCAGAGGCTGAGCTCCATCACTGCTTCAGGGTAGGTTTGGCCCAGACCAGTAAGCTAAAGCAGGGTCTGGATTCACATGCATTATGCTGAGTACACCACATTCACTGTTGCTGTTGGTCTCTGGATAGGATTTGTGGGAATAACAAACAGGGAAAATCTGGGGTTTTTTTTTTTCTCAGCAGCACTTGCACTAAATGTTGCTACAGGTTTCAGCTTCAAATACCTGTTGACACAGACCAGATTCCAAAGAACTGCTGAGATTTTAGATCGGTGTTATGAACAGATTTCACACATGAAATGGGGGGGGGGTGCTTGACAGTCTGTAGCATCTGCACATTGACCAAGTCTTCAGCCTGTAATCAGATCAAGTTCTCCCAGCTTCATTAATACATTTATTTGTTGCACTTGGGTTTTTTCTTTCTTTCTTTCTTTTTTTTAATGTACAGTTATAATTGGGTCTAAATCTGTGTCTCAGGTGCTGCAGCAGTTTGTGAGCAGCAGACAGACCCTGGATCTGTCTCAGCTGTTAAAGGTCCGAGGTCATGTTGTATGCTCTCAGCAGTCTGACGCTGCAGCGTTCAGTCTCAGTTGGTCGGCTGTGTGCCCGGCCATCATCGTCGACGTTCAGCCGGTCCGAGCCGTTCCCATCATCCCCACCGCTCTGCTGAGGAATTTGACCAGCATCAGCCGGCTGCCGCTGCAGCACGCCGCCAACCGTCAGAGAGGGTGAGAATGTGTGAGCTTGACCACAACATGTCAGGATCCTTCTAATGGAGCCTGGTCAGAATTCAGCTGCTGTGTTTGTGTTTCAGGTTTCTGACCATGGAGCAGACCAGGAAACTGCTGCTGCTGCTGGAGTCTGATCCCAAAGCCTCAAGCCTGCCGCTAGTCGGGCTGTAAGTCCTGCACTTTCATTTTCTCAGTCACTGTGGAGCAGTCAGGAGAGAGCCTCACAAAGACATGTTGATAGTCTTTCTGTCACTGATCAGCACAGTGTGTGTTGGTGCTTCATGATACAGCAGCACACATTTTAGATATATTTAGTTTGACATGTGAAAATTCTGTAATCAGCTAAAACAGCCTGCGTCATTCACGCACAGTAAATCTATGAGACCTGTACTCCAGTCTAGACTCCTGCTAGCAACAGTTGATGGGAAGCTCAACAAGTCATAAAGGGAAAGTGTCAGTTTTAGCAGAAACCTCAGTGAACAGCAGTGACTGAATCCTTAAGTGGATAATTTATATGTGGGTTTAAATGCAACTGTAATCTGCAGCACACCTGTTTTTTAATACTGTCATGGCAAAACACAAAAGCAGATATCAAGGGTTGACAAGGGCAGCAATCCAGTGGTGTAAGAAAACCTTGCAGTTCAAGGGTTGACAAGGGCAGCAATCCAGTCGTGTAAGAAAACCTTGCAGTGGCCATTACAATGGGCTTCAATGTGCTAGCACACTCAGTATTTGCAATACATTTTCCCAGTATTTTACATTATATCTCAATTTAAGGACAAAGGTCAGTTTCTCCATTTGATGCATTACATTAACAGTTGCAGTCCAGTCGTCCTTCGTTGGGGAGCTTGGTTGTAGCCATTTACCTGTGATAACTTTCTGGCTGGCAGCCACAAGTATTTGATAAAGGTATTTGTCCTGTGGCTTGAGATCATTTGATATTTTGCCCAGGTATAGTGTGACAAACGCAGTCAGCTCACCAGAGACTACTAGTCTTCTCTTGGTAATCACAGTTACCTCGGGGCCTCTTTAAGGTACATTTAGCAGCAGTACCGGAAGATGTACTCCGATTCTTTACTTCAGTAAAAGTAGCAATACAACAGTGTAAAAATACTCTGTTACGAGTTAGTGGCTTTAGTCTGGTTCTCCCATGACTTATTCCAGTTCTCCAAACCAGACTCCTCCTCCCATTTCTGTCTGATATGAAGAGTTGTGTGGTTCTTTGATTTATTTATTTATTTTTTGTATTCTTTTGAATACTCAAGATATGAGATGTTTAGTGTCCTTATTCTTACAAGACTCCACAAAATTATCAGCCAAACTGGGGTCCACTATCAGCTGTTTGTTTGATTTCCTTATTAAGATAATCTCTTACCTGGAGGTACCTGTACAAATCTATCAAGGCTATATGTATGTGACAGCTGTCTGTAAAAGCTATTGTTTTTAGTTATAGTACAATAAGCTGTTAGGGAATCCCTCTCCTGTACGTTTCCTCTGCATCTCTACTGACACTGTCAAATGTTAGAAGCCCACACACACACACACACACACACACAGTCACAGCCCTCTGGTCTTTAGTTTTTGTGGTGTTAATTATACTTCCTGTCCTGTGACAGCTGGCTGAGTGGAGTCACCCACATCTACAACCCTCAGGTGTGGGCCTGGTGTCTGAGGTTCCTGTTCAGCTCCGCCCTCCGGGACAGGTGAGTGAAGGGAATGCTGCTGCTGATAGGCCAGAGGTGGAGCTTAAAGATTCATGTTTATGTTTTCAGTTAGAGAGCAGGTAACAGGGCCACCTCTGCTGTTTTTCAGAGTCTTGTCAGAGAGCCGCTGTTTCCTTCTCGTGCTGTTCGGTTCCACCCACAGAACTCCTCAGTTCTTTAAGTGTCGAGCACCTGGACCAGGACCACAGCTGGACTACCAGCTGCTGACTGCCTTCCAATCTGTCACACTCTACCAGGTAACACACCTGACACTGCAGGCTAAGCTGCAGCTTTTCCAAGTCTTGCTATTTTTTCAGAACTTCTTTAAAGTCTCTCGGTGATGAACTGGTGATTTAATTATTGATCTCCATGGACTGATAATGAGCACTGTGGTTAGCAGGTGGCGCCGGTGGACGGTCAGACCCTGCAGTGTGAGCTCAGCTCAGAGGATCACAGCCTACAGATGGAGGTGTTCAGAGAGGCTCAGAACTCCTTCAAAAGGTACCAGAGTTTAAAGCAGCTCTCTCACATTTGCACAGCAGTGCACATGCATGGACTTCATACCAGATGTTTAATTTATTAAGTAGTTTAAAAATGTGAATCACTAATGCAGATGGTTGTCAGTCAGCCAGAAATAGTGTTTCTTTTCTGCTATTCTAGGTTGAATGAGTGCCAGCAGAGGTTAAGAGTCATTTATTCAAAGAAGACCGGACTGGCGTGTGTTCTGTCCCCCCTGCTGCAGTGTGACTCTGAACTGTCCTCTCTGTTCTCAGGGCCCCCCCGCCAGCTGCCGGTCTGTCTGTCAGTGACCAGGACTCAGGGGTGGAGGACCTTTCACCACGACCGTCTCCCAGTCCGCACGCACCTATTCAGCAGGTCAGTCACAGGCTGAGTGTGCCGAAGATAGTCGCAGGTCAGGAATGTCGCACACTGCCCCTGAGTGTGTCTGTTACTGTTTGTGACCGGGACATCAGAAACACACAATGTTGTCAGGAGGCCGTACTCTCAGGCTCAGTGATGCTCACAACTAGGATGTAGGCTGTGTTTGTATGTAGTGTCTGGCTCGTTCCTGCTTCTTCCAGCTGAGGAACACAGCTAAACTATGTCCCGTCATGTCTCAAATCGAGATGGAAATGATCATTTGGGCTTTTGTCTCACCCTGATTAGGTGACTCAATCTCCTCATTCAGTCTCAGTAAACCACCCCTGGATCATTTACAGGTGGTCCAGAATACTGTAGCCAGTATTCTGGACCACTGATCTGTCAACACTGACTATACGTTGTGGCCCAGATCAGTCAGTCTGCAGAGAGGGCACTGAACCCATGTTGCAGCACAAAGCTGTCTGTCTTAACTGATGTGCTGCGATATACTACAGAGTCGGTTAAAATTTTGTCAAGCTAACATTTGACTGAGCAGCCATGTTGAGCCGCTCAACTCTGTTCACTCCCACAGAAAATGTTTCTCTTATGGAAGAATTTGGGAACATTATACTGTGAACAGTCATGTTGTAAAATCCCAGTGCAGTAAGGCCTGTAGCTTCTCAGCTATTTAGTCAGACACAGGAGAGTTTGCAAATGGAAACAAAGACAGCAGGTTAATACACTCTGTAAAAACTCCTTCTCTTCTCAGGAATCATGCCACAAAGCTGTGAACACCACTCAGTATGAGCTGTGTTTGCCTCTTTTTGTTGGTGCTATTTGTGTCACTGGAAACATGGCTCTTAATTGAGTTAGCCTGGGAGTGGGGTGTGTCACTTTTTAAGCTTAACAAGTCCATCTTTAGTTTTGTTAGACTGTAGTAGCTGATGTCTTCACCTAGACAGTGGCTGCAATGCTGGTGTCATTGTTCATATGCTGGCTTGTCTACTTTGTGTTTATGTGGGGGAAAGTTGTTTACAGTTCATTGTACACCCTGTAAATGTATCATGTTGATTTATTCTGTACTCACTCCATTTCCTGTCTGTCCGTCCTCTGTTGCTCTTCCTGAGGTTTCTTCCACTGATCAAGTTCAAGAGTCTAAAAGCTGCAGGTGCTGTCTGGCATACAGATTGTAAAGGTCCTTTGAGGCAGGCCTGTGAAATTTGGCTGGAGAACAGTATGTGTTCTTCCGTGACAACCCTGGAGAAAGTTAGAATATAGTTGACTATGAGATTGCAGCAGTAACGCTGTGGGTTTGTCTGGCAGATAAGATCTGCGAGTTTCTCTCCACAGTTATTGCGGTGATCCATACTTTGTTCATCTGACTTTCTGCCCAGGCACTCCATCGAATCTCAGATAGGTAGCATTAATGTCTGAATGTGTACAGAGCCAGTGTAGGAGCTGAACTCAGACTGAAGTGTCTTCATTTGTGGTTTCAGACTCGCAGAGTTCAGCCGTCTGTTCCCGAACTCTCTCTGTTGATCGACAGCAGCTTCAGCTCCAATCAGAACACTCAGCAGGACCCTGGCTCCCGCCACAGACTACCCCCACCTCCTGCAGCTGACAGGACGTCTGCTCCTCCAACTGGAAATACCTCCTCCTCAGTTTCCAGACCTGCTCTTCCTCAGCTCCACAGCACCCCCAACTGCAACGTGCAGCAGCCATGTACCTGCTTCTCCACCCACACCTACAACTGCACCCCCATCTTCTCCTCACCAGGACTTCCCCCTGCTGCTCCCCCACTGTCCAGCCTCCAGTCTGCTGCTCCTCTTTTTTCCCATCACCACACGCCTCCTCCTTCCAGAAACCACCCTACTCCTCCTTGTTCCTCCACCCATGTTGCTCCTATGTCCTCACCTCACCCAGCTCCTCCTCCCTCCACCCCAAAACCTGTTCCTCCATCTTTCAGCCACACTACCCCTCCTCTTTCCTGTAACCCCTCCTCTCCTCTCTCTACCCACCACCCCTCTCTTCTCACCACTGCTGTTCCTCCTCCCTCCCCCGTCCTCCCTCCTGCACCTTCCTGTCACTGTACCCACCCTCCTCCTCCTGTCCCCTGGTGTAGTGACTCTCCTTCTCCCCGCCCCTCCTGTCCAACAGATCCTCTGTCTTCCCCCTGGCTCCCTCGTCCCTCTTGTGTCAATCAGTGCTGTGGTCAGGTTGGGGCAGTCGTATCGTCTGACACCTACCAGCTCCTCCTCCATCAGGACCGACAGCTCCGCCTTCTGCAGGCTCAGGTATCAAACACCTGAGAGAAACCAGTATTTCCACAGACTTGAAGCTGCCCTACTTAATGTCTTTTCAGCCTGGAGGGTCCAGGGAGACTCAAACCGACATCCAAAACTACTCCTTTCCACTCTGCCACTGCTGTCCTGTTTCCTGACAATGCGAAATGAAGTACAGATGCCCGATTGGGACAAACTGTACAAAATGCAGCCTCTAGTCTGAAGCTAGCATTAGCTGACTAATTAGTCAGCCAGGGCTTGTTAGTCAGCTGATGTGATTAGTAGCTCTGAGCAAGATTTCTATCAAAGCTGATGGCTAAAAAAAAAAAAACTTTTGTGATGAATGTTTCTGTCTGTAGGTCCAGATGTTGCTGGAAGCTCAGGGGAATCTTCAGCCATCCAGTCGGCAGGTTGACACTCAGTCACCCAAGAGCACAGCTAGCGTCGCCGTGGAAACAGGTGAGACTGGTTACTGTCAGGACAGCTGTGTGATCTTGTAAAGACTGGTCACGGCTGGGAAGGGTGTGCACACCCATCCCAGCCATGACCACGTTTAGGGGTGCACAGTCAATCACAGGTTTTGCTGTTCTGCGCTCAATGTTGTTTCCAGGCGCCAGTTTGTTCTGGGGGGATCCGGTCCAGGATGTACAGGCTCCTCCTTCCTCCTCACCTCCACCTCCCCCCCCCTTGTCCTCACCCAGATCCCCCTCCCCCTCCTCACATGATCTTTCTGTCATGAGACCAGTGGGTGGAGCTGTGGACAGTGATGTCACAGGTCAGGTGGCTCGCTGCTCGCCCCTTGGGCAGCACAGGTGAGACTTGTCATTTGCAGTGTGAACATCGTATTGACATAATGGTTTTAAGGATTGACATATCAGCGGGTGCTCAGACTGAGTCCAATAAAACAGGACTTTCTGCGTTTCAACACTCAGGGAATGAGGGGTTGCAGGGGGAGTGTTGTAAGCGTGTCCAATACGGCCACATTGTGACGATTTTGGCGTGAGCAGCTTCTTTCACCTTTTCCAGCCTGAGAGTTTGTTGTGTTTTGGTTAGCCATGCTGCTAATGAGGCCTACTCTACCTTAGCACCAATTTTTACAACCAGTGTGTCGGCATTGATGATAAAAAACAAAACAAAAAAAAAACGACATTTAACATCTAGTAACTAATGAAGAGGCATAGCAAGTCGTTGTAGTGAATTAACTGTGGCCCAAATTCAAGAGAATTTGGCAAAGTATGTTACACACAAGGAATTTTTTTCCAGTACAGAACCAAGGCAGCCATCTGTGGCACCAACTCACACCGATAGCTCTAACCATCGGGGGCAACTTGGGGGTTCAGTGTCATGCCCAAGGACACTTCGACACATGTACTGCAGGCACCATGATTCAAACCTCCAACCTTCCGGTTGGGAGACAACTGCTCTACCCACTGAACCACAGTCGCCCCCACACCTATGTTTCAACCAGCCACCTACGTGACTGGTCAACGCAGTGCCTTTGCTGGATGATGTCGGCATCCGGTGCGGCACAAGTTGAACCAGATCCAGTCTTGGTGTCTGTGATTTAATGCCCTACAGGGCATGTGTCATTTTGCCAGAGCCCCCTTGCAGTGTTGGTGCCGGCTATGGTAAACGCAGTGCCCCAGAGAAATGAATGGAGAGGGCTGTGTTTTTCCACACCTTTGAAAATCAGTCTGAACGCCCGCTACTTCAGCTTGTCATTTCAGCTCCAACATTCACTGTTCAAAATGTCCATAACTAATCTAATCATAACACGCAATATTCTGCCAGCTGCTTTCTTCATATTATAATGTTCTCAAAGTCTCATCAATTTTTCTACAAATGTTGTCTTCTTTTATAAAAGTGACTTTTTGCTTCTAGAAACAATTTAGTTTTTTTCCATAATAAACTTTGCCAGTAGTTGTTGATTTCTTTTTCTACACCAGGTTTTCATGACATTTAGGTTCATGTTCCACAGAGGAAGTCTTTGTTTTAAATACCTGCTTTAGGAAGGACAGTAAACAAGGAGCTACATAGCTGTTGTATGTACATAACAAACGCATGTTCTTAAGACTCAACTCAGGTTGAAACCTTTAACCCTGTGTTTGGTTCAGTGTCAGTGGTGTGCAGAGTCCAGCTCCAGGAGAAAGTGTGAGCATGTGCAGACCTGTAGATGACCAGCAAAGCTTCTACCACAACCTCATGGTAACACAACAGCGTGCCCTCTGCACAGGGAGGCAGTCTGACACATAAGAACATGACAC